GGAGGAGGAGGAGGTGGAGGAGGAGGGGGAGGAGGAAGAGGAGGAGGAGGAGGAGGAGGAGGAGGAGGAGGACGACGAGTTGGAGGAGGAGTAGGAGGAGGAGGACCAGTGTAAACTCAAGACTCATCAGCGATGTTGGAATACACCCTCCAGGCTCCCTCAGGCCCCAAGGGTTCGTTTCCGTTGAGGGAAGTGCGCCGTTGAGGGACAACAGTGTGAAAATCTAGACGCGTGGCCGAAACACCATTCTCAGGACTTCAACGCCCCGAGTCAACATGATTGTAGCGCCTTGACGATCCTGAAACGTGCCAGGACACCATTCCTGGGAACTCAACACAGCGAATCAACGTAACTGTTGCGCCCTGACAATCCTGAATCTCTCCAAAACACAATTGCTGGAATGTTAACCTTGAGCAGCAGCGACTTTGTGTAATTGTTCGAAAAGAATATGCGCGGCGCTATGGCGGGAGCCACATTTTGGCAACGAGCCGCCCTCAATCATTGAAGCTTTTGCCAATATTTAAAGCGAGTGAAAACGAGCCGTTTGCAATCCTTGAAACTCCTGCAAGTCTTTAAAACGAATGCGCGCGGCGTCGAGGCGAAAACCACATGTTGAATACGACCTGTCTTCAATCAGTGAAACTCTTGCAAATGTTAAAACACATGTGCACGGCGCTCAGGCGAGAGCGATATTATGAAAACGACCCGCCCTCCATTTGTGAAGTTGCTTCAAAGTTTAAAGCTTCAGGCTCATAAAGCCCGGCCCGCCCTTCTGACTGGCCTCGGGGTGCGGCAGGAAGGAGTTGTTCATTAGGCAAAGCAATGGAGGAGGAGTGCCCCAGACGCCGACCCGCCCCCCCCCCCGGCCGCCGCGCAGGTCGCGGCCGGCAAGAGCTCCCACCCGCGCCTGTGCGAGGAGCTCGGGCGCCTCGCGGACAGCCTGCAGCAGGCCGCGGCCGACGAGCTGTGAGCGGGCGCGGGGCCGCGGCCGCCGCCCGCCCGGGGGGCGGCGCGGGTCAAGGGCCACGTCAGGGGGGGACAGGCTCAAGGCGTCGGGTCTTTTTCGCGGCCCGTTGGTGTTTTGTGCGGCCCGGGAGGCTCTTCAGGGAGCCTTCAGCGGGCCCGAGACGCTCTTCAGAACCTGCTTCACCGTTCTCGAGGATTCATATACTCCGGAGAACCCTTGGCCGTATCATTAAGTTGGGCATGTCCCTCTACAGAAGGATGATTCGAAAATAGTTTTGAAAATATTGCGGGGGCGGTTTTGGTTTTACTATTTTGGCCAGTACAGACAATTTCCAGACTATTTTCAATTTGTCGTACAAATTCCGCCTGTAAGGGCAACGTGCCCGACCTAATTGTATTACGTAAAGCTCACCGGGCCGGAAAAAGCCCATCTGGCCGCAGCAGAACCTTTTCTCCAGGCTCAAGTCGGGTGCTGCTAGGAGTGCCCCCAGCCCAAGGTGTCCCCAGGGTGTTTTCAAGGAGGCCCCCCCGGCCTCCAGAGCACCCCTCACGAGGCCCAGAGGGCCCCAGGGGCTCCAAAGTGGAGCGAACAGCTGGGGCACCTTGGGCCAGGATTAAGTCGGGCCTGTGCCTCTACAGGGGGAGTGTTCAAAAATAGTCTAAAAGTAGTCTGGGGACGATTTTTGTGTATTTGTTTGACCATTTGGGGCATTTTCTGCGTATCTGTTATGGTTCTTCCAAAATCCCCCTGCAGGAGGACATGCCCGACCTAAGGCCAAGGGCACCTCTGGCAACCTCCGATCAAGGGGGGGACTCTCTGCAGGCACCCGTGACACCTCCGTGCGCAGCCTGGACCAGGGGCGCTGCGCACGCGAGGCCCCTCCTGGGCCTGCGGGAGCCCCAGGGGGCCACACGTGCCCGAGTCACGAAGCACCGCCGCTTCAGCAAGATACGTGCATCCATCATCATCATCATCATCATCATCATCATCATCATCATCATCATCATCAGCATCAGCATCATCATCATCATCATCATCATCAGCATCAGCATCAGCATCATCATCATCATCATCATCATCATCATTATCATCATTTTCATCATCATCAGGACCATCATCATGACCATCATCATCACCATCATCATGGTCATCATCATCACCACCAATGTCATCATCATCAGCATCTGCAGCAGCAGCAACATCATCACCACCATCATGATGATGCTGATTATCAAACTTATCATCATCATCATCATCATCATCATCATCATCACCATCATCATCCTCATCCTCATCCTCATCAGCAGCAGCATCGTCGTCATCATCATCGTCAACACCATCAGCTCAGGTGGGGTTCGGGCTTCGAGGTTTCTGTGCGTTCTCGTCGTATCACGGCGGCGTTCCAGCCTCGGGATGCTTTGCAGCAGCTGCGCCTCGCCGAGAGCGCTCCGGGGGTCTCTGGACCGTCGCGAGCGGCCACGGGAGAGCCAAGTTGTGAGTCGGCAGTTGGACGACGAGGACTTCTGGGAGGGGTAGGCTCAGGGGGGATGCATCGACCTCCAATCGCCCATTGGTCGCTGGCAGGGGCCTGACAGCCTACCCCGCCCAAGAACGTGCGGTTTCGCTGTCGGGGGCCTATCGGCGATCTATCGGTGATGTATCGCTCAGTCCAGGTGCCAGTCCCCCCCTGGTCGTTGCCCTTCAATGCGGCCGGCAATATATTCGTTAGATAGGAAGTCATGGAAGCTTCCAGTCTGCTCGTCTTGTCAAGATCTCCAGCGCGTAGGAAGAAACAATACCAAGGTGTTCCGTTGTTTTCGGCCTCTTGGGGAATGAGTCGGAACTTCCAGGGACCCCGTAGTGGAAACTCAGTACATCGGATCTTCGGGCGCATTGAATGCATATCGGCGTGTACCGCCCGATTGCGCCCAGTAGCGCCGCATTGCGCCCAAAGGGCGCCCACTGGCTCCAGGTGAGGGAGATGCATCACGTCCGCTTTGCGCGCTATTGGACGCGCCGTTGGGCACCATGGGGACGACCAAAGGCTTCCACGATTTGCTCTCTAAGATCCGAAGCAGCCAGAACTGGGGGAGTTGAAGTCCCTCCCCCCTTTCTCAGATCTCTGGCGAGGTGGTTCTGTCCAGCTCCCGCCGTTTTGTTCTTCGATCCCGGCCCCCAGGGCGCCGGTTTTTGGACCCATGGGGCGATCAAACATGAGTCCAGCTTCCTTTGCCTAGGGAGGAGGAGGAGGAGGAGGAGGAGGAGGAGGAGGAGGAGGTGGGCGCCGACTGCAGAGCGTCCGCAGGGCAACGAACGCCATCAGGCTAGGCAAAGAGAAAAGGAAGAACGCGGAAAGTAGCAGGGCGCACCAGACTGTCCTGCTAGAACTTCACGTTCATGAGCGGCCGCCAGCGGCGGCAGCGAGGCGGCACGGCGACGACAACGGCGAGAGACCGACGGCGACGCCGAGCCAGCCAAACAGAAAGACAAACGACTTGAGACTAGTCCGAAGAACCAAAATCTCTGCCCGACTCACCCGCCCGAGTCCCCCCCCCAATTATCCCCTGATGCGGCCTCCTCCGATCAGAGGGACTTCGACACCAGGCGCAGAGAAGGGCTGTGCGGGGCAGGGCCGTCCTGCAGGACTTCTCCTGTGGACGGGTGGAGGCCTCTGGCGGCCTTTGCCAATTTACGGGGGCTGTTCATCACGGGTCGACGGAACCTGGGACGGCCCAAGGCATTGGCTCCTCAAGGCTCTTGGGACCTTATGTGGCAACACCAGGAACCCAGCACACTTGGCACAAATCAGTACACGGCCGTGCCTCCCCACAGTATGACCACGACCATTACATTCACTAGTAGTAACAGCGCCCTCATCTCCCGAAGGGTTCCCAGGAGGAGGAGGAGGAGGAGGAGGAGGAGGAGGAGGAGGAGGAGGAGGAGGAGGAGGAGGAGGCAGCGGAACCAGACCAGCAGCCGCGAGGGCCTGGTCTGCCCCCACCACAGCAGCAGCCTTCAAAGGCCGCGCTCGACTTCCACCCGCTCGAAGCCACTCCCGGCCTTTCCAGGCCGTGACTCCCGTGGGCCGACAAAACTTGGAGGGGGTCGTCGCACACATGCACTAGAGTGCTGGTCGCCCAAGCGCCGGCGAAGCACGATACACATCGCACCGCACCAGTGTTTGCATCGAGAAAGAACGTGTGCCCATGGAGGCTGAGCTGCGGCGCGGGAGGGGCTCGACAAACGCCTGGAGGTGGCGGGATGTCCGTCCAGCGCCTAAACCGTACCACTCTGGCCGCAACCCAAGAAATATAATCGATTGTAGACCGATGAAACATGAGCTCACCAGCAACAGCCTCGGCCGTCGTCCGAGCAAGTATCACACGTGCCGACGCAAGTTGTGCAAAAAGATCAGCCCACGCGTTGCCAACCCAGGCTGTTGGATCCAGCCCTCGCTCGCGAACTTCCTCGAGAGTAAGGCGAGCGGGGGTCCACACAAAGGAGGGGGAAGGATACTCAGGAGGCCCACGCGTGGCCTGCGCAAAAACACACCTCCAGGTAGCAGCGTACTTCTTCATTCCGCAGGCATCCTCGGGGCCCCAAGCCTGCCCCTCCTGAACCAGCGAGAACAGGTCCGAGACAAACCCGAAGAGACGAGTTACGCCTCATGGCGTGCAGAAGCGCAGTTCTCTCCGCACGACCCGCAGTCTGGAAAGCCCCTTCAAAGAAAACAGCACGGGCAGGAAACACTTGGACATTTAACTGGGCGATCGCCCAGCCAGCACGCCTGACCTCGGGCACCGCTGGGGCTTGAGCGCCCCCCCATCCCCGAAGGTGACAGGCCCCCACTCCCCGCCCGCGTCATCCCGCTCCCAAACCTCAGACGCTTCAGGCGGGGATGGAAGCTGCGTGGAGCACCAGACAACTTCAAAACCAGTCAACGCTTCGCCCTCGTCGGGCTGCAGAAGAGCGGGACAATCGCACCAGAAATGTCCGAAGGATCAATCCTGTGATTTACAGGTTGGGCAATGGGGCCCAATGTTTTTACCCCGGGCAGAGAGGCGAGCGGGCGCGGGGTGGCGGCCAGCCCACGGCCCGCGTAGCGCGCCCATCGGCGCCGGCTTCAAGTCGCGAAGTCCCAGCCGCAGAGTTCGCTCCCAAACATCATGAGTCGCCTCGTGAGTATGCCAGTGATGCGTCAACTGCTACACCTGCCAGCGTTTCGCAGCATTTACCCAGAAAGCTGTCATGTCCGCAGGCGCCGCTCGGAGCGGGTCGCAGCCCCCCCCCTGGTCGCTGCGCCACTGATGCGGAGCAACACAGGCCCAGCCTATTTTGTTCAAGGTAACCCATGCCGCGCCAAGCGGCCTACGAACGCCAGCTCATGTCAGCCCTGTGTCGCGTATACAAGCAGACAGAGCTTCCCAGGCACGTCGAAGATCGCCAAGAGGAAATCGGGCGTCACAGAGAAAGAAGTGATATCGACGCAGAAGTGGCGTCGTTACATAAAATATCGGATCATAGCGACTCTGCCATTGACAATAGAGGTAAACCGTCTTATGTGCGCGAGGCGGTGCACCCACGACCGTTGCAGCCACGCCGAGCGCAATCTTCAGGGCACCGTCGTTCGCGCCCGAGACCTCATCACCATGAGCAACGGCAGGCTAAGCGCCCTGCTCGCCAGAGCACCGAAGCCTTGCGCCCAGCAGCGTTCTGGCAGAGCTGCAGCCGATGCCGTTTTTGCCGGAGGTCACGTAGTCGAGACTGCTCCTGGGCCCTCAGAGGTCGTATGCCCATGGTATCATGGCCAAGGTTCCGCATCCACGTTTGCGGCTATAACTTGGACCCCTTGACCAATCTCTCAGTAGCTTGAGTACCGACAACACCCCCCCGACATTCTTTCATTGAAGCAAGATCCAAAGGTGCGCGAGTCTTCCTAAAACAGCCGCATTGCCAAGTCTAACGCTTTCACTCCAGCTGCATCATGACCAGCGCATTGCACCGAGACGTCGTCGACCAAGGCTCTGGGAACTACATGGCCATGCACCACTCGCAACCGAAGTGCAGCACGAAGCGCACGGACCTCCAGCGCGCAGATGCCCTGATCCACCTGCAGCGAATCCGAGA